GACTGGGAGGAGGAGGAGGAGGAGGAGGCAGGAGGAGGAGGAGGAGAGTAGGAGGAGGAGGAGGAGGAGGAGGAGGAGGAGGAGGAGGAGGAGGAGGAGGAGGAGGAGGATTCGTCAGGAGGAGGAGGAGGAGGCGGAGAAGGAGGAGGACGAGGAGGAGGACAGGGAGGAGGAGGAGGAGGAGAAGGAGAAGGAGGAGGACGAGGAGGAGGACAGGGAGGAGGAGGAGGAGTAGCTACCGCTGGGGGAACGTGCGACGACGGGTGAGTGACCCTTCGCCGGAGTGACCTCTGGTTCGCGGCTTTCGGACATCGGCGGCGACGATCTCGGGGCCAGCCCGGGTGAGGACCTTGCTACACGCATGCGTCCCGAAGCCTCGCAGAGCATAGACCATCGACGCCCCTGGATATCCAGACATGATCGCGTCGTTAAAGAATCAGAACGGGAGGTTTTTGGCTGTGTTCGGGCCCCTGGGAGCCCTCGCCGGGCCTCGGGACCGTCAAAAAACGATTCAGGACGAAATCTGGTCTCGGGGAATGGGTCAAGACCTCTGGGGGTGGATGTCATGCAACAAATCATGACATCGTTGCTCTCCCCTGGGCGATTCGCCCCCATCGTCGCCCCCGAGCGCAAGGGAGCCCAAAGCCCATGCACGCAGGCTGCTACTGTCGCACCGCACGCAGCGGTCGGCAAGCCGCGCACCAAAAGGCAACTCTTGCCCAGGGTCAGTCTTGCGTGCGGCCGATGTTTCGGGTTCGAGGTTCGAGGGTCAAAGGCTTTTCTCAGGTTTTCGGAGGATGGTCCCAAGGACGAGTGGCCTCAACCTGTGAAGGGTCAGCGTGGGATCCCTTTCTAGCTTCTCCTCCTCCTCCTCCTCCTCCTGCCCCTCCTCGTCCTCGTGGGTGCCTTCTTGCAGCTGCGCCTCGCCGAGGGGGAGCGTTCCAGGGGTGCCCGGATCGTCCCGAGCGGTCGTCCGAGGCCCAAGTTAGGACCAGGAAGCCAGACGACGAGGATCAGGCGGGGCTATAGGCTTGGCAGGTGTCGGCCCCTGGGGGCCCTCGCCAGGATGAAGATCCGGTCCCAGGGAAGGGGTCGGGACAGCAAGGTGCGCCGTATTTCAAACATCGAATCGTCGCATGTCTGGGCCCCAAATCGCCCATTGATCTCCGATAGAGGCTCAATAGACCCACCCCTCCCGGAGACGTGCGGTTCCGCTATCGGGGGCAGACCGCCAGACCCCCGACGTCAGGATTGTTCCGTAAGGTGGTTGCCCGGATGCCTCGACCCATTCCCCGAGACTAGCTCTTCATCCTGAGTCGTGTTTCCACCGTTCCAGGGCCCGTCGAATGCTCCCAGAGGCCGAATACAACGAGAAAAACGCACGTCGTGACTGTCTCATGTCAATGGCGCCACCGTTTAGCTCATTCCGCTAGCGCGGACGCCCCTTGCCTGGCCGCCGAGGGGGACACAGAAAAAACATGTCTCATGGCCTGAGGGGATCCGGAGCCTCTGTCGCGGATTCCAAGGCGAAGTTCCCCGCCCCGAGCCAGCCTACCCCCCATACCGTCCCGCTCAGGAGCCGGCACCAGCCTTGCAGGCGGCTGTCCAGGCGTACGCGATGGTGCAGGCGCGGCAAAAGGGCCCAACCACATGCCGCTGCGAGTATCGCGAGGCAGGTGAGACGAAGGGAGGGGTGGCACGAAACGTGTGAGGGATGTGCTGGAATGGGTGCGATGCCGCCATCGGGATGCTGCTTCTGGGGCCCTCCGGAGCTCCGTATGGGGCCACGAAGCGTGTGAGGGGTGTGCCGACATTGGTGCGGCCGCCATGGTGCAGGCACAGCAACATCTCAGACAGCCAACGCATTGAACACAAAGAATGTGGAAGTCTGTCGCCGTTTTCGGCCTCGAGTTAGAGGCCGTCGCCAGGCCCCACGACAGCCCAGAAAACGACTCGGAGTGAAAACCATCCCTGGGGAAAGGGTCGGGGCTTCTGGGGACCGCGTTTTGGAAAATGTCGAGACATCGGATGCCAGCGTCCTCGAAATTCTATATCGTTTCGTGGGCTCCATGAGGCTCATCAGCCTCGGGGTGCTTTCCAGCAGCTGCGCCTAGCCGAGAGCCCTCCGCGGGTGCAGGGGACTCGAGCTTGGCCGAAAACCAAGCTTTTTCGTCGTCGCGACAAGATCTCGGTGGGAGGAGGAGGAGGGGGAGGAGGAGGAGGAGGAGGAGGTTCTTGGCCTCCTGGAGGGTATTCACCACAGCCCTGCTAGGGGCCGTCAAGACGCGGCTTGGGATGGGGAGCCGTTCCCTTGGAAGGGGTCCCAGGCCTTTGGGGGACCCAGAGATCCCACGCACTGAGCACATCAAACTGACTGTGCTTCGCCGTTTCGGCCTCGAGAGGCCCCAGATCCCCTCTGGGTCATGAGACAATCACGCTGTGCGTTTTTTGTTGTGGTTGCCCTTGCCAGGCCTGGGGACGGTCAGAACCCGAGACAGGATGCAGAGCTGGTCCCCTGGAGTGGGTCGAGATTTCCGAGGACCCCGCATCGAGAAAAACAAGACCTCGGATCCCTGGGCGGAGCCGCAGTCCGGCGGGCCCAGGCCCAGGATAGAAATAGTTCCAGGGTGCTCCGAGCGCTCTGTGACGGCCGCGGCGCCTGCTATATCCTGCAGGACTTTCCTTCTCCTCTTCCTCCTCCTGCTGCTCCTCCTCTTCCTTTCTTCCTCCTCCTCCGTTGGCATTTTGGCTCAAGCCACTGTGTTTGAGCGGGAAGCCTTCTCTTGTAGAGACCATCTTGGGTGTCGAGCCCAAGCGGGCACCTATCGCACCTCAGGCAGGGGCAGCCGCCATGGGTGGTCGTCGTGCGCAGAAGTCGTCTGGAGAAGAGGGTCGATCGGGGTCTCCAGCGGTCGGATCTCATGAAGGAAGAAGGCCAGGCTACGCCTGAAGCGTGTGCAGGACCAGCACCAGACCATGATGCAGCATATGACCGGGATGTTTACGTCCTTCAACACGCAGATGACAAGCGTGCGGGAGGAGATTGGCCATGTCAAGACCAATATCGAGACGCATGGCAGGGAATGCGAGGCGATGCGCATGCGTTCTGCGGCGCTGGAGACCACGGGTTCCAATGCACTCAGTGCAACGGGAAGCTCGTTGAATGGTGATCGCCCTCTTGCTCCTCGGTAGCGTCAGCCTGCCGCGGTGGAGAAACAACTTGGGGGCCCATGCGTTAAGTGGATTGGAGTGCGGCCGCGCCCGGTGTTCGCCAGTACCCGCTTGGCATCTCATGAACAAGTACGTGGACCGTACCCTCAACTCATTGAGGGTGTGGCGACGCAGATTACTGGCATTGGAAAGAGCTACAAACTATTGTTCCCAACGGCGGTGCAGGCGCAGCAGTTTCAGAGCCGCCTCAACGATGACCAGGTGCGCTGGATGGGCCCGAAGTACAGCACGGCGACTACGCTCCGCTGCGAGGAGACCGCCCTATGCTTGTGCGAGCTCGGGCGCGCCAGTTTGCTCGGATCTACCGGCCGATCAATGCGCTGTTGAAAGAGAGTGCCAAGTGGACTGAAGCACAAGGCGGGTGCGAACGGAGGCCATGGCATTCTCAGTGTTTTCGATGAGGATGATGTCGATGCGTCGACCATGTCAAAGCATTCTGGTCATGAAGTGGAGCGGTTCATGCCTAATACGTCTGCCCTTCAGCTGTGGGGGTTCAGCAATTTGCAGATCAACGCCATCTTGAAGAAATCCGCTTTGACTATCGGTGGTGACGTGAGCGGCTGAACGTGGTGTAGCTGGGCGCAGTGACGGGGACTGCGTTTTTACACCACTGACGTAGCAGACAATCACCACTCTTTGCAGTCCGTGCATTGGGGCTGCGCGCACTTTTTCTTCATCTGCCACGCTTGCGATGGCTTCGTGGTCGTTTTCTGTTCATGCTGGTGGTTCCCCAGGAGGTCCAACAGCGCCGGCAGGGTCGACTGCTACCTCGTTCAGTTCGCGGGACTTCGCGGGCTCTTCCATCCCCGGTGCTGAGCAAGGATGTCTTGGAGGAGCTGGACACTCAGCACTCCGAGGCCACCTCCTGCTCTTCCCATCACCTCTGTCTGCCGCTTGCTCCGTTGCCTGTCCCTGGACAGGGTCCGCATAGTTTTCCTTTATCCATCCTGCTGGGCTCTCTTGGGTTGCATGGAACTTGTGTGCTTGCTTTTGCAGTATTTGGATCAATCAGGATCGCGTGACATCGACGTGGCCAAATTTTTCCTGGCGAACTGAGGAGTGTGACTACGCTTTGCTGCAGGAAGACCACGGGGCATCTAAGGAAGATCTGGCGGAACTTCAGAGAGCTTGTCCCTTGCGCACATGTTTGGGGATCGTCTTTGACAACGGGGATGCTGGGGGAAATGCCACTATGGCTCCTGAGCGCCTTGCTCGACTGTTTGATGAACCTGGCTGTGTGGCGATTTATGCTGGCCGATGTCTCAAGGTGTCCTTGAAGGAACGGTTTGGGTGTTTACGCTTCGTTTCCGTTCATGTGGATCTTGGGCTGCGTCTCGCGCAGCGGCGGCCACTGCTGCAGGGGGTTCTGGGCCGCTTGCCGAATCCAGAGGTAGCTTTTTTTATCATTGCGGCTGGGGATTCGGATTTCTGTTAAGAGGGCGAGGCGAGACGTCGGCTAGATCAGGGACTCAGCACCATCTCCTGGTCGGGCTCACATGTTATCTTAATTGCTGCGCAGTTCGGGCGGTTCTGTGAGATTGATCTGCCAGACTATACACGTGAAGTTGTGCAGCGCCCCTCCTTGGTCACCCTAGCCCGTTTCGATCGTTCGCGCGTCGACCTCCCGATTCGCGATCTCCTGGACCTTGCCCCGATAACCTGGAGTCGGCTGGTCAGTCACCTGCAGGAGCGCCCTGTCCGACCACGCGCCCGCGCGCGTCGCTCTAGATGCGCGGCGAGACCAATTTGCCGCCATTTCCACGGTCGGCCACGAGATCGCCACCGTGCGCGGACCTGTTTTGAATGTGCTGCTGACGCAGGTCGAGCCATCCGATTTCCCGCTGCAGCGCGCGCTCGAGCTCGAGGAGGTACTGCGCGAAACGAGCCCCGTGAAACGGAGGAAGGAGATTTCAGGGCCTGGGACCACTGGCAAACAAATATCCTGGATGGTTGCCCTTGTTCGGGCTCGTCGGAACGCTAACTCCAGGGCCGCTCGGAGAGCTTGTCGCGAGTTTGGTGAGCTCGCGCAGTACTGTGGCGCTTCCGCGCGCAGTACTGTGGCGTTTCCGTCATGGCCTGGACTGAATTGGAGGGTCTCACGAGTGCTATCCAGGACCGCGAGCGCAGTTGCGATGAGGAGACCATAATAAAGGGCGCCACCTCGAACCCTGATATGCATCGCCAAACGAAGGAGAACAGCAACAACAGGTTGACTGAGCTTTCCAGGGCCCGGGCGCCCCCCCGCCTGAAGTTGGACAAACTTTTTGGTTCTGGCGACTTGGAAGGTTCCGCGCGTTCCGGCCCTGAGCAGTGCTCTGCGGCGCTGGCTGAAGATTAGGGGGCATCGCTAAACCGGTTTCTTTTCTCTGGCGACGCGGGCGCCAATGCTCCGAGCGACCTGTTTCCCGGCCATTTCCGCTAGCCCGGCGGCCGCGCCCAGGAGGCGCCGGCGGATATCGCATGGAGGATGACGAAGGGGAAGTAACAGGAGCTTCTGCAAAAACGCAATGTTTCTGCCCTCGGGGCCGACGGGCCCCCGCGCAGTGCCCGGGTCCACGGAGGGGGTGGCTGCACCGATGCTTTGTTTGGCTTGTATGTGCATGTATGCGATTGAAGGGGGGCTCTCACGTGAGTTCAACGTCTCGCCGGGCACCTTCCTGCCGAAAAGGGAACCAGGCCCGCGTAGTCTTCTTCGGGGGCGCTCGGTGAACAAAGTTCGCCTGCTCGCCCAGTCGAACGCGGGCGACAAAATTATGGCCGTGGCCTTTGCGAGGCCCCTGGGGCCCCTGGGCTTTGGGACGACTCACGGAGAGCGTGATTCCTGTGGGCGCAGCACTTTTAGTCTGGTCTGGAGTGGTTAGCATGACAGATATTGGTGGCACGCTATTCGATTTACGCGCAGCTTTCCCGTCCGTTGCTCGCGGATGGCTGTTTCGAGCTCGTGCTCGCGTGGGTATTCCTCCGCTTCTGCTTGGCGCTGCCCTCGCGATGGACTCGGGCGATCGCGTCGTGATCTCGCCTCGGGGCAATCGATCGCACTCCCATGGTGCTCGGCCGGGGGATTAGACAAGGATGTCCGCTCGGTTCGGTGTTCTTCGCGTTGGTGTTCGACCCTCTGATTTGACTTCTTTGCTCTCGCACTCCACCTCCGCGGAATTCAATATCAGCTTGTGCTGGAGACATCGCGCTGGCGTCGCATAATATTTTCGTTGCGCTACCGCTGTTCGCGCGGACGCCGCTGCGCTGCGAGGGCCTCGCTGGCTTGCCCATCCACCCCGGCGAGACCGCCATTGCTACCAGGCGGTTATGTTTGGCTTCGTCGGTCATATCTATCGGAATCATGTTTGGGCCGGGTGGGGCTCCAGGACCAGGCGTGATCGCGCCATGGGGGAATCTCTTGGTCAAAACATGGGTCTACATCTCCATGGTCTTCCCTGTCCTATCCGACGTGGCGCGGTTCTATGGGGCCTCGTCGTTTGCGCTGGCGGAGGAGCCGCAGGCATTGCAATTGCTCGCGTCTGGGCCTTGGAACGCGCTCAGCCAGGATATGCAGTGCCACGTGCGCTCGTTCGGGCATGACAACGAGGCTCGGCATTTGCGCGGTGGCATGCGCAAGCCGCTGCTTTCCGGATGGCCAGTCGGTCGGGAGCTTGCTTCTTGGGCCCAGGAGATGATGGGGGATTTGAGTCAGGATGATGAGGTGGTGCTTGGGTGAAGGTACGGGGCATATAACAGGCACTCTAACTGTTCGTATTTGGAAGATGTTTTGCGACGTATTCAGAGCATTCTGAACATTTCTGGGGATCGGTGGGCCCCTGGTTTTCAGATTAATTACACTCGGACCACTCAGGATGTTGATTCAGATCCTGTGGCTCTGGATGTTTCCAGGGCGAAATTGCTGAAATGAGGACAGTGTCGTATTGAAGATCGCACGCTTACTTATAAGGGTTTCCAATGGGCTTGTCAAGCCCTACCTGAACGTGTCGCGACGGCGTATGTCAAGACGTTACGCAATGCTGGGAACACGGCTGCTCGTTATCGATGTGGGGTTGTGAAGTGCCGTATGTGTGGATGTGAGGGTTCTGATCTGCTCTGTCATTATATGTCGTGTCATCGCCTCGATCATTCCCTGAGCTATATTGTCCCCTTTTTCCTTCATCTTGGCCTGGTGAACCAAGCAGAACCTACCGTCCTCCCCTGTCTCTTCCTTGCTCGTCTTCCCTTTTCGTCTCGCGCGGGTCTCTGTTCCGTTCTTGTCGGTCTTGACCTTGCTCTTTCCTCCTTTTACTCGCTCCGCATTCGAGATGCGTCTTCCGAGCAAGTGTTTCGAGAGGCATGTGCGGCTGAGAGTCGTATGGTCGCCTCCTGTTCTTCCAACGTCCGCAGTCTGCTTCAAGGCCGCGATCCTCTTGCTGCCGCCGCTGCTGATCAGGGATGGTGGGACTCTTCGGGTGGGAGCGTGCGCGAGCGAGCGAGATGCGTCCCCGTATTTTTCTTGATTATTCTGGGGGCGCTTTTTTGTGGGGCATGGTCGCATCCCGCTCCACCGTCCGCAGCCTGCTTCCAAGCCTCAATCCTTTTGCTGCCGCCGCTGGTGCTCAGGGATGATGGGGTTCTTTCTCTTGTTTTCGCTCTCGTGCCCGCCTGTTCTTGTCCCTTGCTCGCTCTCGTGCCCGCCTGCGTCCCTCCCTCTTCTTGGTGAATATTCCTCATCCTCCTCCTCCTCCTCCTCCTCCTCCTCCTCCCCGTTCCAACCTCCTCCTCCTCCTCCTCCTCCTCCTCCTCCTCCTTTTTCTCCTCCTCCTACTCCTTTCCTCCTCGTCCACCTCCTCCTCTTTCTTCTCCTCCTCGTGTGGATCTCAGGGTCTAGAAGTCCCGGCGTCACATCCCGGTCCGATTATGTTCCCGTCTTGACGTTAAAATCGCGAACACGAGGCAAGGGTATCTGTATCTCCTGACATCCGACGTCGAACAACAACATCTTGAGCAATTGCGACCAGAACCCTAGGCCCAATCTTGCTGCGCCATTTTCCGAGCCAGATCGATCTGTGATGGTCCCGGGTCCCAACATTGGCGAAAACGCCCAGCGCGCAAAAAATGCGACGCGGGGGCCTCAGGGTTCGCCCGGACCGGAGAACCGCGGCGCAGCAACAGTCATGGCGTCACATGCCTGTAGTCCGCCTGTCGGCGGCGAGCGAGGGGGGGAAGGAAAAGGCTCTCTCAGGAAGCGGCGGGGCTTCTCAAACGCTTTCCGGCCTTCCGAAAAGGCGTCTGTGTCTTCGGTGGAGGCATGGTTTTTTTTCAGAAGTGCGGGCAACTTCTGAGGTTCCTGCGAGGGCCCGCTTCTTCTCACTTGCCCCCTGGGCTCGCCGCCGAGCCTGGCGCAGCACGCCCCGCTACACTCGCCGTCGTCGCCGTCGTCGTCGTCGTGGTGGGTCTTCGTCGTCGTCGTGGTCGTCGTCGTGGTGGTCGTCGTCGTCGTCGTTTTGGTTGTCGTCGTCGTCGTGGTCGTCCCTGTCGTCGTCGTCGTCGTGGTCGTCGTCGTTGTCGTCGTTGTCGTCGTGGTCGTCGTCGTTGTCGTCGTGGTGGTGGTCGTTGTCGTCGTGGTGGTGGTCGTCGTCGTCGTAATTCGTCGTAGTGGTCGTCGTCGTCGTGGTGGTGGTGGTCGTCCTTTGGCTGCTCTGTCGGCCTTTGCTGGGATCGCCGCTGAGGTTGCTGAGTGGATTGGGGGATTGTCACCGGATGCCAAGGTGGCTAACTATATATCTGGCTGAACCTGGCGTAGAAATTGGTTACAGGTGCCCTGAGTGGTTCAGGGGGTGCCCATAACTCCGCTAAGTGGGTGGAGCCCATCAGCCGGGATGTGTGAACCCCTTTCGCCACACAGTTGGGGCATGTGTGACCCCCTCATAGGCCACTAAAGGTCAGGCATAACCCACCTTTGCATCCGCTCATAATCCAGACCCCCGACGTTTTTTTGTTGACGTGGGCCCGATGCAGTCTCGACTCATTCCGTCCCGAGTCGTTCTGTTGACTGTCTCGGAGCCCGGCCCGCTTAGCTTCGACTGGAAGAGGCTCGCTCTGGACCCGCGGATCAACAACAAAAAATTGTCTCGGGGCCCGGCGAGGGCCCCTGGACGCCCGATGTAGCAAAACATCTTCTGTCCTGTTTTTCGGGCCCCAAGCCTACCGAAACTGGCCCCAAACCTACCTACGGCAACCCCAAACCTATCAGAACCAGTCCCAAACCTATCACACCCTCCCTAAACCGATCGAATCGTACCCCGAGCGTTCCTAAACATATCTAAAGTGCACCCTAGACCGCCCTAAACCTATCTAAACCGATTTAGATTTTCATGACCCGAGGGGGTCTGGGAAACTCTCCATCCAATTAGCACCCCCTACGGCGATCCCAGCGGGGGCCCTTCCTCCGCCGTGCTTGCGGGCAAGAGTTGTGCCCATATCCAATGCGCCTGAAAGTTTCGGGCTCCCTTCCCCAGACACCAGAGGCGCAGTGGATACAAGGATAAAAGATCTGGCCCGCAGGGCACATATTCTTTTCCATCTCCACGGCGCCTCGGACTTTTGGCGCCCCTCCCAAGGAGGTCCAGGACGTCTTGGATCTGGATAGGAGTCGGCGGCGAGCGAGGGGGGGAAACGAGGAGGGGAAGGCCTTCTCAGCAGGCGGCGGGACTTCTCAGAAACCCTCGCGCCTTCTGAGAAGGCTTCTGTGCCTTCGGGGAAGGCTTAGAACACTTCTCAGAAGGCCAGGGTGACTTCGGAGCCTTCTGAGAAGGCCCTCTCCTTCTCTTTTCCCCCCCTCCCCCGCCGCCGAAGAGAGCATGCCCGCAGTGCCGCCGGGGGCCCGTCGCAAACGAATCCGAGAGGGCTCGGGCTTGGGGAAGTGGCCCAGACCTCCACAAGGGGCCCGCGCCGCCGTGGGCGAGCGCGCGGCGTCGGAGGCCGCGGCCTCCTCGGCAGCGCGTGGAGATCTGTTGTTCCTTCGGCACTGGCGCGGGCCTATCCTTGGTCGAATCGGGGGCTCGATGCACCCAGACCCCCCCTCGTGTTATGAAACAGTCACGACGGTCGGGTTTTGACTCTTTTCGGCCTCGGGGGGCCCTGGCCGGACCTCGGCAGGTTCAGACAATGGCTCAGGATGAAGATCCAGTCCTGGGGAGTGGGTCGAGACTTTTGGGGGGTCGGCGTTGTGAAAAAATCATGACGTCGGGGGTCTGGGCAAACGGGGGTCAGTCAGAGCGCTGGATCTTGCAGGTTCCTGCAGCGCCAGGTTTGCACTGACCCAGGCTTGCGTGCAATACCCTGCAGGATCCTGCGGTTTCTTGCAGGACCCTGCAAGGCCTGGCTGACCCGGGTTTGGATTGACCCGGGTCAGAAGATCAACGAGTCGATGACCCAGAGTCGGTTGTTGCTAGAAGTGCCCCAGGCCCAAGGTGCCCCCAGGATTGCCGAGGAAGCCCCCACCGCCTTCAGACCACCCCTCACGAGGCCCAGAAGGCCCCAGGGGGTCCAAATGGAGCGATAAGCTGGAAGCACGTTGGGCCAGGGGCACCTGTAGCAATCCCCGACGGAGATCCAAAGTAATCGAAGCGAGCCCCGGGACTGTCAAAGTACTACTCGGGGTAGGCAACGAATCTTGGGGAGTGGGCCGAGACTTCCAGGGACCCCGTAAGGAACGAATCAGGACATCGGGTCTCCGGGAGCCGTTTCAATCCGGCCCCTTCCCGCCTAATCCGTTCAAAATCCAGTTCATTCTGGCTTTACCCCGAGCCTGAGGTCGACGAGGTTCATGCGGGGCATCCTGTCTGAATGGCCCATCGGGCTCTATAGTCTTTTATCGTTCTCATGAAGACCTCCCAGAAGCTGCCTCCCAACTCCCTCCCCAGGCCCCCGACGTCATTTGTTTCATGAGTTGGACCCCCTGAGCTTTTGACTCACTCCCAGGGACCGGCCTTTCCTCCCGAGTTGTTCTTGGACGGCCCCTGCGCCTGGCGAGGGCTCACTATGTATGAGATTGCAAGCAGCGTGGAACATATCCCGTCGCGATTGCTTCGCGACGACAGGGGGGTCGGGGCAATGCCCCCCCCCACACCACCCGGCAGCAGGCCGCCGACGCGACCGGAGGGTGGCCGCCTCCGCCCACCACGGCGGAGCTAGAGCAGGAGGCCTGGAGAGCGGAGGCGGCCGCGCACGGCAGCGGCACCTCCCCGGCGACGCCGCCGCCGCGCCGAGGCCAGCATTACAGTCAACCCGCACAATAGGGATGGGCATCCTTTCCAAGGCTACCCTTTGCATCCTTGCCTCCTCGGTCCATCCTTGGTCCTTGGCCGCTTTCGTCGGCCGCGCTCCGCTCGAAAAGCTTCGCAGTGGGCGCCCAAGGCCCCTGCATCCTTTCCGCGCATCGTTCTAATAATTACGGGCCGCCGGTATACCGCGACCCTTCCCCCTGAGGTCCGGGCTTCGCATGATTGTCACTCGGGGCGTCTTCTTACATATTCTGTGCCCTGGGACCCTCACAGATCGATCTGGCTATCTGGCTTGGGAAATGGCGCGGGAAGGTTGGGCCTGAGGCTTTGTTCGCACGTTTTGTTGCGATGTTACATTTGCGTCGCTGCGTTGGGTCTCCAGGGATACCGCTACCCTTGCCTCGTTTTCGCCTGATCGGGCCTCCTGGTAGGCCCTCGTCGCCGCGGCTGAATTCGGCTCGAACTCCTGCTCAGAACGCATTCCGGGAGACGTCCGTATGAGGAAGACAACCATAGGGTTGAGAGAATTGGGCTGGAAGAAATGAGGATATCTTTCCCCTTAGGCGGCCGAAGGTATCGTCCATTGCATCCGGATGCTATTGCCCATATCCTTCATCCTCCCAGCCCCTTCATCCCAACACGATAATTGTTCTCCTCACCGTGCAGGCGCGGTGTTGGTAGCATTTGATCTCCCAAGGCCTGGGGCTGAGGGCCGACGCTCCAGTGTTCGACTTCACCCCCGCGATGCCCAGGATTCCGGCCTTCGGCGAGCCGAGGAGCCCCAGGCCGCCAATCACCCCAGACCCCGTGACGATGTGAGAAAAAGAAGACACAACGGGATCTGGTGCTTCTCTCACCCCTCCCTCGTGTTGGGCCCTCGTTTTGAGACCGCAGCCACGCGCGGCACCTCCCTCCTGCCTCCCCCGCTCCTTCACCTCCTCCTCCTCCTCCTCCTCCTCCTCCTTCTGCTCTTCCTCCTCCTCCTCCTCCTCCTCCTCCTCCTCCTCCAGTTGGGCTCGAGTACTTGAGTGGGCAGCCCACTGCTGTCGGCATTCTCGCGTGTCGTGCGCGAGCGGAACCAAGACTTCCTACACTTCGTGCGCCGACAGAAGGCGCTGCTTAAGATTGGCGCCGATGGGCGGGCCCGCCAGCTCCGGCGGGGGGCCCGCGCGGACGCCCGCCCCCCGACTAAGACTAGCAGCCTCCTCCTCCACCTCCTCCTCTTCCTCCTCCTCCTCCTCCACCTCCTCCTCGTCCTCTTCCTCCTCCACCTCCTCCTCGTCCTCCACCTCCTCTTGCTCCTCCTCCTCCTCCACCTCCTCCTCGTCCTCTTCCTCCTCCTCCTCCACCTCCTCTTGCTCCTCCTCCTCCTCCACCTCCTCCTCGTCCTCTTCCTTCTCCGTAGCCATTTTGGCTGCAGTCACCATGTCGCGCTGCGGCCGCATGGAGACCTCTAGGTTGAGGACAGTCTCCAAGTTTTTGGCGCCACTGCAGGGGCCACGCGCCAGCCCGACTTTCCAGATTTAAATATTGCGCAATTGCGGGCATTCCATAATCAAAGGCCAGCCTGGCGCGCGTCGCTGCTGGCATCCATCTCCTGATCATTATGTTCGCCCTCCGGCAAGTGACGGTCCAAGCGTTGGCGCCGCTGCTGTACGTCCGCCCTGGTGCTCCACCTCGGACAAGACGCGCTGGTTTCGAGCCGGACCTCATCACTGGCAACAGGCACAACAGCAACCCCTTCACGCAGACACATCGCATGCTTCTAGCAGCCGTTCTCCCTCCGCCGACGGTGCTCGAAGACCTAATCCTCATCCCCGCGATCGTAGACGGCAGGACACTAGTCCCTCCAAGAGTAGGAGCGGAGGTGACCGCAGTGGGTCTACACGTGCACATCGACATCGGCGACACCGCGACCGACGGGACAGAGAGAGACGGGACGACAACAGAGAACGAGATCGTGGACCTGCAGGACATCGTGAGGCAGACCGAGCACCACCGCGAAACTCAGGACCTTCAGCTCCACGTCCAGACGCTCTGGCAGAACGAGACCCCTGGAGTGCTGCAGCGGCTGGCCAACAACAACACGCAGGAGCTAACGGCGGAGTTGTTCGGCGTCACGGACCTGAACACATTCTTCTAACACCACATCGTCAAGCCACAGAAGATTTGGAACTGTTTCCTACGTTCCCTGCAGGTGAGCTTCCAGCCGCTGGCACGCCGATTGGTGGCTTACCTACCCCGCGAGATCATGATGCTCCTCCTCTGCTTGGTGACCTGGCTCAGGTGGAACAAAGGCTGGCGGCATTGGGAAAGGGGCAAATCGCGACGGCGACGGCGCAACTCACGGCAACGGCAAATTCTCTCATTGCTCAACAGCAACAGGTCTTCAACTTACAGGTGCACGAGTTCCTGGCAGTCAGCAAGCAGAACGCGTCCCACCTCGAGATGCACGGCAAACGTATTCGCGAACTACAATCTCGAGCAGACAAAGTGGAGGCATACCAACAACGAGTGCGACAACACATTCATGCGATGGAACAAACCTTGGCGATGGCAGAAGCGGAAGCCCCCTTTGACGTCCAGGAGCTTGCGACGTGGGACCGGGTCCCTGACCCCACAGCGTTCAGCATTGTAGCCCCGAGAGCAATGGCACCAGCGGCTATCAAGACGGCGCTGACTGGATGGATACACGCTTCTGGTGTTCCTGTTGACCAACTGATTATTCATGGTGATGTGCCTCAACGGCGCCTCCACTGGCAAGTTCAAGGTGGCGCGGTTGCCCCTGATTGAGCCCTGGCACTCTCTCGAGCACTCAAGACATCAGCTGGCTTCTGCACCTCCAGCGGCTTCGACACAGGAGGCGTCAATACTCCTGTATACGTCAGTGCTGACAAGAACGCCAATCAGGTCAGGCTGGAGCTCCAAGCAAAACGCCTCCAGCGCATCATCGAGGACGCCGTCGCAGATCACGACATCGGGGCGCAGCGGGCCAAGGGCATCATCACCTTTGATGAAATGCCGCTCGTGGCCGTTGAAGTTCAAGGACCAGATGAACCTTCCAAACTACGATGGGACATGCCCATCCTCGCCCGCGACAACATTGACCAGCAACCGTTGGTGGCTGCATTTGGACAGGCGTTCGCTTGCGTGGATACGTCTACGCGGTCTATTTCGCAGACGATGGTCACCATGGATTTCTGTTCAGGAGCGGCGCAATGGCACGATCATTTCTTGCAATGCCAGAAACCTGTTTCGTTACAAACCTCATCGTCGCGAAGCCAAGCTTAAGGAGCTCGCCCTGTTCATGCACAAGAGAGCGGTGATTTTACTTCAAGAATGCAGAGGAACGCTGGGTAAGCTGACCGCTGCGCTGGCGACCTACCCGGACCCGTGCAAGATATGTTTCAACCATTTCTCACAGAAGGTTGGCGGCACTGCATTCTTGGCCCCCATGGATGTTAGAGGCCAAGATCACCCACGTGTTCGATTTCAACATCAAACTTCAGCTCCTGGCAGGGTCGTCCCCCTCACCATCACCAATGACAAGGACAACTTCACCATGGAGCTTACGAGCGCTCACAACTTCCAGCTGGATAGCCGAGGGCAGGACAAGATACGGGCTAAATGGAGGGAACTTGCCGATTGGAACCTTCAATTTCAAGGCCTCACGACGAGAGCATCCCTGCCTGCTGGTGACTTCAATATCATGCCGGGCCCGGCACGCAGCTACGCGGGCCCCGTCTCGGAAGGCTCCATCCTCGGCTCTGTTCCTGCAGAACGTAGTCGTGGATCTCAGCCCTTGCAAGCACATTTGGAACGTCTCTTCTCCGTGCTCGCTGAACTCTCGACAGTTGCCCCGCGCAGTATCGCAGAAACACGGCAACCGCGGCAATGCTGGATCGAAGCTTAATCGGAACCCCAGCTCACTTTTTCCTAGATGTCGAAGTTTTCGCGGAGGTTGACATTGGCGCGGCCGCCATCTCCGACCCCAGGCTCAGCGACAGCACGCCGATCGTTCTTCACCTTCGCGACCGCGCTCGGCATGATCAACAGACCTGTGCTCCTGAACATGTCTTTAGTGGCCCACGCGATTGTGAGATCCGGGGGCAACTGCTCGATGCGACTCAATTTGATCGGCTCCGAGTCGCGTGCCAATGGCGATGCATGAAAGACTTCGTGACGGAGGCTGCTCGTCAGGTCCGTGACGAGCTAGAGTGTCTTCGGATCTCGGCGGAAGATTCCCGCGCCGAGGGAGGACGTGCCACCACCCTGAGAGCAATAGCCAGACGTGCCTGGCGCAACGACATCTACACGGCCCAGAAGCTGAGGGCCACCACCGCCGACGGCGCGCGCTTCCTCCACGTGGCCAGCGGCGCCGCGGAGTTCCTCGACAGGCAGGATTTTGCCCTCGTCGCGCACGCCGCCAACTACGAGTTCGGACAGATGGAGGCCAGACTCGCAGAAAGCAGGGCGCTCAAAGGGGAGGGGGCCGTGGTCGAGGATGGGAAACGAGCGGCAAGGGTACAAAAGAGGCGCGCTACCCTCTGGGCCCCCAGCGCCCATCGTCTCGTTCTCGTTGGGGTCAGGCCCGCAAGCTTGCAAGAGCCCTTGGCTGCGGCCAGGGGCCACGAGCAGTTTGCGCCCGCTCCGACCTCCCAGCGGAAACCCATCTTCGGCGCCGAAGCAGTTCAGGAGGAGGCCTTTCAAGAGTGCCTCGACAAAGTTGCCCCTCAGCAAGACCTCTTACCCCTTAGACTTCCAACTGGGCCCGAACTAGGAACTTGCCCGACGGTCAGCCCCTGGCCCTGATCAAATTTCTCCTGCGGCATGGACAGCTCGACCCGAAGAACTAACTGTCCTTCATAAATGCATGACATCTGTACGGCGGCCATGCAGCGCCCTTGGAGCTCAGTGATCGCCTCTTCGCTTTTCTTCCCAAAGGTCCAGAACCCGAAGATGCCCAGGGGTGCGTGCGGTCCCCAGGGGAGGTTCGTCCGTTTAGCTTCAGGAATACGGGCATTAAGATTATGGCATCTGCCACCAACTTTCAGATGTTGCCCAAGAGCGCACCCATGAGGCTCACCTACCGCTGGGCGCCGAGGCCCGCAAGGCCAGCATCGCCCCCGAAGCTGCGGGGGACCTCCCGATCTTCGCTGCCTACGATGTGGAGGCGGCGTTCCCGTCTCTGGGCCACCAGTGGCCGTTCGAGATTGTGAATAGGATTGCCCCCCCCCCGCCCTGTTTCCTGAACTGTACCCACTCGTTATGCGATGTACCGAGAGGTTTGCTAATATTCGAAATCGAATCGTTTTCCTGTTTCATCTCTGCTCGGGGATCCTGCAGGGGTGCCCATTCTCTGGCTCTCTTCGGGCTCTTGCAAGGGACCCCATCCTTAGATGCTTGCGCGCAGCAGCACAGGTCCTGCAGGCGAGGCACCACAAGGGTCCTCTCGGGGGTTGTGCTGACGATGTCGGGATGGTGATGCCTCGCCTTCGAGACCTGGTTTGTGTGTTCCTGTGCTTTCCTGGGCGTGGAGCGTTTTGCCTTGCTCGGGCCCCATGGGGCCAAGTGTGTCCTGGTCCCACCGTGGACCGAGTGCACGGACGTTGTCCCGGTCAGGGTCCGAAGCGGCTTCGTAGGTGGATCCCGCACTGGGCCAATTTTAAGATCGCTGGCCATACGGTCTACCAAGGGGTCGAAATGGGCCCCGCAGCCACACTTAGCATGCCCTGGGCTACCGCAGCAGGGAAGTGGTGGTCGAGGGCGATTGCTCTG